AAAATAAAGCGAAAAAAAGTGAAAAAAACGACCAATACGCACAGCTACATTTTTTGCTTTTTTGTTTGCTTTGCCTTTTGTTTTTTTTGCATTGTTTTTGCTTTATAAAACTATGTTGGCTCCTTGTATCTATGGCTGGCGTGCCCGACATAACGCGTAGCTTCGTAGCACAGGATCCTTCTTTAAGGACCTCGTAGCACAGGATCCTTCGTCCTTGCACAGGATCTTGCTTTACGGCCGTCGTAGCACAGGATCCTTCTTTTAGGGCCTGTAAAAAGGATTCGACGAGGCCTCGTAGCACAGGATCCTTCTTTGGGGTCCTTCTTCAAGGCCCTCGTAGCACAGGGAGGGGGGGGCCACGCCACGCTTACTACTATTTTTTCCAATTCCAGGACGGGTCGGCCACGACTACTACTACTTCCTCGTGGCACGGATCCTTCTTTATGGCCTTCGTAGCACAGGAGGCCCTCCTAGCGCAGGATCCTTCTTTTAAGGCCGTCGTAGCACAGGATCCTTCTTTATGGCCCTCGTAGCACAGGATCCTTCGTCGTAGCACAGGATCCTTCTTTAGAGCCCTCATAGCACAGGATCCTTCTTTAAGGCCCTCGTGGCACAGGATCCTTCTTTAAGGCCCTCGTAGCACAGGATCCTTCTTTAAGGCCCTCGTAGAGGGGTGGGGGGGCACGACTACTACTACTTGTCCTAGTTCGGGGCGGGGGGGGGGCACGACTACTACTACTTTCTCGGGGGCGTCCTGCGTCAGAGACATCCGCTCATTCCTCTAGAAAGGACTGGTCTTTGGTGAAAATGTTTGTTGTCGTTGCATGGGTTCTCCATGAAAGGCGATTTCAACAACAACATGCTTGGGTCCGAAGCCTGAAGAACTGTCTGCGACTTCAGAAGTTGCAAATCCCACTGAACTCTGCCTATCCTCATCCTAGATTGACTCTGGAAAAGCTCTTTTATGTGTATATATGATTCAATGACGCGAGACAAAACCTTGTTTATCTCGATGCCATTGAGCGCCATGGCGGGTCAAGCACAAAGGGGCGTGCCATCTTTGTGGATATGATATTATCATATATTATCACCATGACGCTACTAGGGGCTCCTGGCATCGCTACTAGGAGCAAGGACGCTACTAGATGTCATCTTGTTTCGGTGAGTGCGCCTTGTTGGTCATCGAGTTCTGGAAGCAGCTGCAATCATCATGGCTTGAGGCGCATGGCACTGTATCGCTTGTATCGCCCGGTACCTCGCAACAGCGTGGATACTTCGGCAACGAAGTCAACTTAGAGGCGTCTGACTCCACCATGCTAATGAGCTGCACGATCTTACGTACTTTCACACAAATGTATTCTTTACAGAATGAGAAATATAATTAGATGCGAACCAAGCAACATATGTGACCAGCAATTCATTTGATTGTATTCTAGGCCCTAGGCCGAACAAGGCTTTATTGGCCAGCACCAAACAAAGTTCTTCGCATGCACCATGCACTCCACCGTTAGTCTGCAGGGGGAACCTACCAAAGCAACATCATTTATCATAAAAATTGCGTTCATATTGTTCATACGAGTGTCGACATGCTCTTGCCTTCTGCTTTGCTTCTGTGGAGGTAGAGAACTTGTGCATGACGTAGAAAACAAAGCCGACTGATCTTGCCACGGTTCTGGGCAAGGTGTTTGCGTCTTCCAAACTTCCTTCAAGAAATCACCCGGCCACTTGTCGTTCTTGAACCTTGGACTTCCGTACGAGCAACACGAGGAAAGAAAACACCGACATCTAGATCTGTCATGTCTATTCATTTCTAGATTAAATATGTGTATATATATATACTACATTGATATACATTAATATACCTGGACCTTCCAGGTGTCCAGAAAACTGAGAGGTTCAACCACAGGCTTAGCGGCTAAGCACGGCAGCAGAAGGACTTCCGAGGTTCAGATCGTATTTGTCCATCGGTTTTTCTGGAGAATTGGTCGCAGATTTTGCAGTTGGGCCGGTAGCCGCAGTCACATCTTTGGGTTCGTCATGTTTTGCCGGGGCTTGGACGTTTGAACAGGCAGTATGATTCGAGGGTATGATTCGCCATGAAACCATGTTCCAGCACAATTGTTTAAGGGCGTGATTCGGTGGTACAAGTACTGTATGATTCAAAGGTATGAATCGTGACTCGCGGATATGATTCACTAAAAGATCTAAAGGAGAAAAGTTGAACTTCTTACCATTGCACCAGGACACGCACGGAAAAAAATACAAACCCAAACCCAATTGTAGGTTGGTCATTTTAGGGAGAAAAAAGTACCCGGCGACTTGACCTGTGCACCTCCAATCCACTATGATGCGTCGCTGAAGGGGAAAGTAAAAATTGCAAAAACTGTTTTTAACTGATCAGCCAATGGAACTGGATTTGCCCAGAATAACAAAACAATGATAATCTCCACTGAAGGTCATGGAGCTGTTTCCTCTGGGCGTGTAGTCCGTCACGCTGATGCTGAGTCACTGTCTGTCCAGGACACGTGGTCCACCTCCGGCTGATATTGGAGTACATTCAGAAGCGCCAACACTGTTGACCAGCGTGAGGGCCTGTCTTCTGCAGCGAGAGAGATCTCGGTGAAGAACACCAGTCTGTAGCCATGATAGTCGGTGTACTCTTTGATTTTTGCTGGGCTATTGTGCACAGAGTTTCCGTGATCGAATCCTTTGGCGCCCCCTTCGGGCAACCAGGTTACTTGTCGCACGATCATCCGACCCAACTCTCAGGCGTCCAACAAGTCACCGTGTTTGGATGCAACTCGGCCGCGCGAGGCTGCCGAGGCTGGCACTTCTGAAGCCAACGCCACACTGACTTTTGGTGACGTGCTGGCTTCAGGCTAGGCGGCTAGCCGGTAGCCACTTGCAGCGCAATCTGAAGCCACCAAGAAAGTCAAACATGAACTTCGTGATTCTCGGATCTATGATCTTCAACCTCCAACAAAGCATCGACTTCTTACCTGGGGAACCTTAACCTGTTAGTTAGTTTCATTTTAAAAATAATCAGACCCACTGAACATGTCCAGTTCTTCGGCTCACAATGGGGGAAGTGGAAGCTTGCAAGACACGCATCACCCACAACGGAAAAACGTCTGTTGAAGAAGCGTTTTGGACGTTGAACACACAAGCAAATAAGTACTAAAGTAGCTGTGGTCAGTCCTCCAGGTAGTGCCTTGAGTTTGTCAACGGACATCCGCCCTCACAAAGAACTTGGAGGCCAAAGCAAAGCCTCAAACACCACAGGCCAGACTGACTCTGTCCGTTGTTTTTGATCAACTCAGGCCGGACTGACTGAAAGCCATCGCGAAACACAAGGATTGAGCGTCTTTCGGAATTCGCTCTCCTCGACTCGGCACGTTCGTGACTCACGAACAGCGAGCCCTAATCACTTCTGTGCAGCCACAAGGAACTCGCACAGCTCCAAACAATACGGTGCCAACAACAAGTTGAAACAGCACGGCACAATGATGACGTGTACCTGGGAAATGGATGGAAACGGCTATTCCTTGGGTAGGGCTCGCTGCAATGCCGCTTGAAATTTGCCGAACGGCAAAGGTTCAAACAACTGCAAATAGCTTGAACCTCCTACCGCCAAACTCCGTTTGTTTCTATCGGCGGGTCTTTCAAAAGACATCACAAGACTCATCGACTCTCAAACAAACGGCTTCCAAAATTGGCCATGTCATGGCAGCTGCTTTCTATCCACTTCGAACACAATCTGATGGACCGACCATCCACATGGAATTCTGACCGGTAATGCCTTGTGTATCCTTGTGTCGTTTTGTCTGGAAAAGGTAGCCAGCAGCTTCAATTGGCCACTACCGCCCTAGATCGCGTGCTCTCACCATCAATCATTTCCCAATCTTCGGTTGAGTGCATATGGACATCTGCCGCCCCAAGTTGCTCGTCAAACATCTCCTCCACTGACTCACCTGCCAAGGATGCTCGCACTTCCCCTTCCAGCTTTTGGCACAAGATTTCGACTGAGCCAAATTCATTCCAGAAGCGTGGCCTTGATGTCACCAAATGAATGCGACCTGGTGTGAGTCCGGTTTGATCTTGCAATTTCTTGCTCACGTGCTGCAGTGTTTCTTGTTGGCTCCATCCTTGATCTTCTTTTCCAGCCTCTACTGCAAGATCCACCTTGCTTCGAGCAACCAGGCATCGGATGTCTGCAAAACGGATGGCGGCCAACAAACTTGCGTCGCCTTCAGACCAACGACCATCTGTGACAATGACGACCAGGTCGAAGTACTTGAGTCCCATATTGCAGAGATATGTTCTGGAGCAAATCTTCGTGGTGCCTTGCCCTGGAAGATCCCACAATGAGACTTGACCCAGATTGGCCAGTGAAAATCGCGCTGGCTCCAGCGTTCCATCGCCTTCCATTGAGATTTTGGGCATCTCATCCTCTGGCAAGGTAATGTCAAAGTGCTTCAAAATTGCTCTGATCAACGAACTCTTGCCAGTTCCGGAATCTCCCAGCATGGCAACATTCACAAATCGCCCCCGCGCGCCATCCAACTCAGCATTTTCGGTCACCTCATTCACATAGGGCTCAAGGTAAGCAGGGATAGGATAATCTCTTTTGAGACGCAACCACTTTTCATGCTTCTGCTTCTGAATGTTATCGCGCTCCTTCTGGATCTCTGCAACCAAGCGGGCTTCAGCCTCCCTCTCCTGTTCCGCCAAACGTTGAAGGGCCTCTTGAGCCTCCCTGCGCCGCTTCTCTTCCTCTTCCCGCAACCTTCTCTCTGCAGCGGCCCTCTCTTCCGCAGCGTGCTGTTCTAGGCGGCGCAGGGTTTCCTGGTGCTGCTGGTCGAGCTGATGTTGCTGCTCCTGAACACGTTTTCGTTCCTTCATCATTGACTCGCGCAAAGCTGCCGCTTCTTCACTAGCCCTGCGCGCAAGCTCTTTGGATTCCTTGTCCTCGTGATAGTGATGGATCTCCCTGCTTCTGCCACCACCCATGCCTTGTTCTGAACCCTTAGCAGCAAACTTCGGGGCAAGCGAGGGTCTGGTTTGAGTCTGAGATACGGGCAGCAAAGTGGCATTGTAAATCATGTCATGCATTGATGGAAAACAGCAATGGCAATATCCAAGTGTGAAACTCTTTTAAAAAAATAGACGAACCCTCGCAAGCGCCTGAACTGCTGGATAAGGACCGCCGTGATGGCACCACCAAACGCCTGAATTGACGGGAAGGGCACACGAAGCTGGAAAACAAAACCGCCCTCAGAACCAGGATGACTGCGCTAGCGTATGTTTGCGGCTTGTGCGGGCCAGGCCCTGCGCGACACGCGACACGGATGTACTGGAGTTCTATTCTGTTACTGGAGCCTTTTACTGCTGGCTGGCGTCGTCAGGCCGCTAATATAATATTGCACAAACGCAGTTGGTATGCTGCAACACTTCACAGCGTTCTTTCTCGCTGCTGGCAAGTCACATTCTTTGGCGTTGTTACAAGTTGGCTTTAGAATCTTTAGAAGTTGCAAATCCCGCAGGATTTGGCATAATTAAGCCTGTCCTGCTCCTATGGTGCAATGGTTTTTCGTGTCGTGCGCTACGCGGATTTGCAGGAATCGGGCGCGGATTTTTGGTCGACTGGGTTCGTCTTTTTTGTTTTGATTGTTTCGGTTTTCGGGTTGCTTTGGGACTTGTCGGTGAGAGAAGCAATGAGGGCCAAGAGCCCAAGAGGAATTTCTGGTCACTGGGCCGCTAAGGCTTTCTATGGCTGATTTGAAGGAGTTAATCGAGAGGGCAGCTGCCAAAGAAGCAGGAAGAACATCCCCATGTTTCACGTCCCAAAGCATGCGAACACCAGCCGCTCCGAAAGTTGCCAAACAAGTTGCTTCTGAGAAGTGTTCCATTATATAGCGCACGGTGTTTTCCAGGCACCTGAACTTACAAGAATCTCATCCCACAAGGCCCACAAGCCTTGGTTGTGTCAAAGTCTGTTCCGTTCTTAAGAGCCATTTTTACTGTATAGGGCCACTAAGGGTTGTCCTCCTCTGCTGCACCAGGTGCTCGACTTATTGCTCATCCTGCCTTGTCGCACCCTTACGCTATATACATCTTAGCTTCCCAAAATCATGAAGTCCAAAAGCCACCAACGATCGAAAAGCGCAATCGCCCTTTTGCGTGTTGGTTGGCTTTCCCTCGCATGGGTAAGTCCAACGTTGGATGCAGACTGGGATGGCACCCAAAACGCCACCGATCCCGGTTGCGTCAAAAGTTGGTGAGACGCATGGAGGAAAGCAGACACCAGACACCCTGAGGAGCGGGTCCATGGCCGTCATCAATAAGAAAACTTGAGTAAAGAAAAAGTAAAACAATCGGAGATTCAGGAAAGGGCTGGGGGCATATAGTTCCTGAAAGACCCAGTTCATCAAAGTGTAGGTCCGAAGGATGGGTAAGCTCGTCCGCCCAGGTGTTGAAGTCTCGCTTCACATGAGACGGGGCCAATTGGCAACCGCCTTGACGCAAGGTCAGGACCAGTTGCATGAGGACTGCCGCCGTCGGCCTCTTCTTCGTGGATTGGTTCAGCGTCGCACAAACATTGCCCTGGTTGTCGGGGATCAGGGGATCTTCAGCGGCGATTCTTTTCGAGAGGGAGCCCTCATCTCCAACCCCTGGATTGGATTTCAAGAACGCCCATGAGAAGCGTTCTGGAATAAGTTGTAGTTGGAACCACCAAACTGTGTCTTGGAAGGGTTGGTCAGTGTCTCCTGCGCTGGCGTCACTGGTGCCACGCCAGGCTGAAGGAGGGCTGTATATGGTGTTGGCTGGAGAGTCCAGCTTTCCAAAAAAGTGCAACACCCGGTTATGTTTCTCTTGGGCCCATCTGGACTATGGGCCCCGACGGTTGTGGCTTGCTTTTAGTCCACCTGCCCTTTGATTGGCACCCGCTTCACGCGCGCCCACTAAGATTCAAGGCGCCCCCCGCTCCTTTGACTGCTCGAGTCCTTAGCCAAAAAGCCTATGGCCAGAAACTCTCTTTGGAAGTCAGGAGACCTGAGAATTACATTAATTAAATATCCAAGTCGCAACAGGAAGGAGCTGAACAAGGACCTTTGTATTTTGATCTGCCGCGCTAGAAAGCTGGCGTTGACACTTCCAGGCGTTGCCAGTTTGCCAGCAGCACTGGCAACGTTGGCTCGGGCTATGGGCGTGGCAGTGGAATCTAGGAGGCTCTGACCTTTGATGAGTTCACCTCTTTGATGGACCGCGCTTTGGCCAAGCGCGTGTTGACAGGACGGGACAGAACAGAGGTCTGCCTGCGCGACTTTTGAGAACCTATGGTTTTGCCAAGCTAGGCCCGCGGGCTTTTTGGATGGGCTCAAGTGGCACTGCGTTGCGCCCTTCGGGTGAACACCAAGTTGAGAGTTCATTTAGGAAGAAAATAAAACATTTCAAAAAATAATCCAGGCAGGTACAAAATATCGCCAATACTAGTTAACAAATATCGGCGCTTAATTGTTTTTCCATGGCCATGTAAGGGGGCAGGGTTTTGACCCATTGCAACTTACCAAAGACATTTCCTTTGCCCTGATCAAAAAAATATGTTATTCTATTTCAGCTTGTCTGAGCGTAGTTTCCCTCACCCTTGGCTCTGTGGCTGGCTCAGAATACTGACAGCTGCCCCCAGTGAGTTGACTACAAAACATCTCCGCTCACAACTCTGCAGCCCAAACCCAGACTAGTTAGCAGTTGTTGCCACACGTCCAACCAAGCAGATTCTGCGCGTAAACGCTCACTCCAAGGCAACGCCGTCGCAGGGCGGGCCTCGGCTGGTCATCGGTCATTGACGAAGCAAGTGTAGCCATCCAGCCAAGTATGTCCACACAGCCAAGGCATTGTCTTCAAGCTGTGGTTTGCGCACGTTTCACACGCGAACCAACCTTCACGCAAGAAGCCTGAGGCTGATGTGGCAAACTGAGTGGCCGGCCAGGAAGCAAGAGCTGCGATCACAGCAACAAGCAAAGAAAAACATGGCCAACTACGCTAGTGTGTTGTACACAGGCTAGCTACCACTGATTCGCTCTGATGCGCAACTCTCATCGCGCAGAAACTCTCACAGCAAGGTCTTGTTGAAGGTGAACGCCTTTTTTGAGTTGCTATCGCGGCAACTGTCGGGCTTTGGTGTCGCAGCAACCATCTTTGCTTGCTTTCACAGCCACTATGACCATATGTGCATGTAACAGTCTCTTTAGGGCTGCTATCGCAGCAACTGTCACGATGTGTAAAGTTGCAGCCAGATGTAAGCTTACATTCTTTGTTGCTGCCACAGCAACTTGCGTTATTTTTAATATTGCGTTCAACGCAGTGTTGTTTTGTGGTGAGTACCATGGACAAGTGTTGCTGCCACGGCGACCAAGGGCCATAGCCATGACACTGCAAGGAAGAACATGATACTGCAATTGAAAACCTTTCCAGAATGCCAACTGGTTTGGAAAGGACTGCGTGCATTCTTGAGGAGACCAAAAATATCCAAAAATGCAAATCTAGACAACTCCGAAATCCGAGGAACCAACATCTGGTCCCTCTTGCTGCTTTCAGATCAAGGAAAGCAAAGAGTTTTTGTTCTCTGTTTGGATCCATGCGTCGGGGAATTTTGGGTAACCTTCCCACCACCCCTGCATCTCAGGATTAAGTGTTTTGCTTTCGTGCTCTTTCTGCTGGCTACCGCAGAAAAAACATTCGGTGCACTGCAACCGACTTAGGCTGCAAACATGGTGGAATGTGTCATAGAATGAAGTAAGCCATGCCAAAAAAAATCATGTGCTGCCATTTTGTGATTTTGTCACTTAGTACCAAGGGTACCAAAGCAACTTTATAAAACCAACATACTTTTTGAGTTTAAGTTGACTGAACTTTCTGGTGGTGGCAAACTTTTTGTCCACACTGGCATCGCCCAGTCTTTGGATAAACTCAAGCCATGAAAAGGCAGACAGCGCAAGTCAATTTTTTGCAGCACTTTTAAGAAAAACAGAGTCACTCTTACAACAACTTGAGCTTGGAAGCAACGTTTCCACGGCCAGGCCAAGTTCCTTCTCCTTCTCATCGACCTCCGGTTGGTCCAGGGTAAGGGTGGTGACTGTGGCAGCCTCGTCGAGCAGCTCCCAATTGAAGATTCCGGAATCAGAACCAGCCATGGCGGCAATGGTCGATATGGGGTAGAAAGCAGGGAGCTTTTCTTTCAAGAAGGACAAGATCTTGAGCCAAAATGGCCAGGCATTTTGGCTAGTGAAATGTATTTGGGAAACATAACCTGCTTCCACGGGTTCCAAGCACGTACTAATTAGTCTTTGCTTCTTAAAACTTTGGGAGGGTAGTGCAGACGAGGGCAGTGAGGAGCTTCATGCGATGTATCACCTCGTGGACCGGTTACATTGCACAAACCCAAGTTGGGAGAAAAAAGGGTTGGGCTTGCGATGATTTAAGTAACGGTAACATCCAAAAGCTGAGGAATCGTTAAGAATGTATTTACGCGAGTTTCACAGGTAAGAAAAGACTGACCTGTGGCTTGGGAAGCCCTTTATTGCAGGATTCACCAGAATCAGGGGCTGCCCGCACGATTGGCTTTGGGTACAAGCAAAACCAAAAAGAACAAAGACAACAAGAGTTTCCGAAAGCCTGCAGCTATCCAAGCGATCTACCAAGCTTTCACACTGTAGCTGCAGGCAACATAAGTGCTGGGCAATGGGAGGGTTAGGGTTTGATGGCAAGCCAACCCGCTGAATAAAAAAAAAAACTTGGCGCCGAACGAGTGGATCATGCAAATACAATTTTTCCGGTAAACCTGCTAGGACTCTAGCGGCTAGCGGCTTCAGGATCTCTAAGATAAAGTGACCTGGAAAAGTTACAAAAATCATTGCAGGTTTTTGCACTAACAATTGTTTAGAGGTTTGCGCTAGCCGCTAGCCTTTCGGCTGCATATACTGCTGCGACCACCAATCGACACGAGCTCATCTTTGTTCCCTCCTAGGTCATGCCTCGTAGGACAACAAAAGCTTGCTGGCCTCGGTCTGTTGCCACAAGTGTCACGCCAAAGTGTCTGGTACAAGTGAAAACTTGCAAGGCCGCCCTAAAAAAGACTGGTCTGGGCTTCAATGACCAGCCAGTTGAAATGGTTGTTCCTGCTCAAATGACTCAATTAGTTTGCGTGGCTCCAATGGTCAACCCACCCAAACACCAGAGAATCAGTGATTCCCCAAACACAGTGAACTCCAACACCCTCGGTGCCCACCGTACAACATGACAAAGGGCTCGGTGAGTAGCATAGGTTAGCAGACTCTGGTCGGCAAGTTACTTCAAGTTGTGCGATCCAAACACCCGGTTGTTATAGCCATTGGCTGATTGGCCTGACAAAACCAAAGAAGTGTCCCACCACCCTGCATCCGCCGGTTCACCCTTTAGAAACAAGCCAGATGAGGATGGAAAATGATGAGTGAAGTATCCTTGTCATCTCTTACATAAGGAAGGCTCAACCCAGCCTGCACTAGATCTTCTTTACTCTCTTTCATTCGGAATCCTTGATGGGCTGTGACTCGAGTCTTGACCATCGCTTCGCGGAGCCAGACAATTGTCTTCTGCCACTGGTCTTCGGCTTTCCGGACCAATTCAACTCCAAGCCTTTGCGGCTTTCGCGTGGTATAATCCAAACAAAAATGCGAAGTGCCTTGTAAAGGTGCCACAGGATCATCATCACAGCATCGGCCCACATGCAGATTTGATCCGTCTCTACATCACCAATGAAGGCCACCTGCAAGCAAAGCCCTGACATAAAGAGAAGACTTTCGAAAATATATCGGTCGATAAGCGTCATGTATCCCAAGGATGGCAACATGCTTGCAGTGATCTGCGAGTATGCAGCTGCCACCAAGAGCACCACCAAAATGACGTTCAGGCGGTCAGCCTTGTCATCCACAGGATCAATACTGAAAATGGTCAAGGACAAAATGTTGATGAGGAGCTGGACCAAAATGATCCGTACCCAGTACATGGTGGCCTTGCGTTTGACCACCACCCCAACACAGCAATGAACCTTCGAGGTTGGCTCGAGCATCTCTAGTTCGAAACTTCGGCTGGAGCGGCTCTCCTGTCGCACTACGGCGCGTGCGAGCATCACCCGGATGGGAGACTCGTTTCCTGCATCCGTGTCGATTCCCAGGAGCTTCTCACACTCACCATGCTCCCAGGTAATGCTTTCTCCATCAGGGGCAGAGAATGCGAAATGCACATGCAAAGGCTGGCAATCGAAGGGATAGTTGTCAAGCTCCAGAGTTTCATGAAAGCTGCCTCTAATGCTCCAAGCTTGTGACAAGGTCACCTCCCTGCCATTCTTATGCAAGACAACTGGCTTGCACGTGATGGCAACTGAGCCTTCTTGATGCGAATTCAACACCGCAGGCGCGGGTGGACACCACGATGGTAGCCAATCGTGAGGCTTCACTATCCGTTGGTAAAGTTCATCCCTGGTGATGAGCCAGGAGAGTGTAAACTTCACATCAGCTTCAAACATCTCTTCTTGCGTGGCCAGCTTACCAATTCTGATGTCGTCCATCTTGATGCGTACCACTCGCTCTGCTTGAGCCTCCACAAGGTCACATTCCGACATAAACCGCCTTGCCGCTTTGATCTTGTCCTGGATCATTGCCAAACCTGATGGCGCCAGGTGCGGCACAAGTGATGTTTTTGGCTTCACGAACAGCAGAGATTTGTGGCCTGCCCAGCTTGTGTCCACCTTGGTAATGAGGGTGTTGTCAGAGTTCAGCAGGAACTCCCAATTGAGACCTTTGAGATTGTAAGAACCTGGCGGCATGGTGCTTTCGATCAATTCCAATCCGCCATCCACCCTGAAAGCTTTCTGAGCGACATCAATCTGAGCAGAAGCCTTCGTCAACGTATAACCATCAGTGAAGCTCTGGTCGCCATCTTCAGGTACTTCAATGACAGAGAATTTGTACTGGAACGTTGCACTGTTCCCTGTGATCTGCATGCTGCTGCCGATGATTTCAATCTGCCACACTTGTTCACCATGGCCATTGTGCGCGCTGTTCACAGGGAAAAAATCGAGGCCGACAAAGTCTGGAAACAGGTCCGGCCAACTTGCCATTGCAAGCTGCCCGTGAAAAACTGAATCAGACTCTAAGTGACACTTGAGCACGACAATCATCACAGTGTCGGTGGAATAGAGTTGAAGCACATTGAAGCTCTTCGTGGCTTTTTCTTGTTGACCCTGCCCACACATCCAATTCCCTCGACACATGAACACATGGATCCGCTCTAAGACCACTATGCTAGGCCAAGGCACAAATTGAAAACATTCTCCAGCACTAGATTTGTTTAACAGCCTGGCAGCGAATTCCGACAAGTTTGAAGACAAATGGCTGCAAAAGAACAGCCGTCGCACGCTGGATGACTGCGCAGGCGTATGTTTGGTGCGGGCCAGGCCCTGCGCGGCACGCGACACGGATGTACTGGAGCTTTGTTCTGTTACTCGAGCCTTGTACTGCTGGCTGGCGTCGTCAGGCCGCTAATTAATAATATTGCACAAATACAGCTGGTATGCTGCAACACTTCACAGCTGGTAGGCTGTTACGTTTGCTCGATTAGCAGGTTGGTGCAGCTGCTACGAACTCGGTGGCGCGTTCTTCCTCGCTGGTGGCAAGTGCTGCCAAACCGAGAGGTAACGATTGTAATGTGGTGTCACATTCTTTGGTGTTACGTGGATTCTCCGTGAGGGGCGATTTCAACAAGAATCTGCTTGGGTCCGAGTCCGAAGTTTGCAGAACTGTATGTATGCATCAGTCCCTTATATATTGGCTTCGCAAGTTACAAATCCCGCCGGCTGACGTCAGCCTATCCTGATCCTAGATTCACTCTAGAAAACTGTTCATTCTGATGATGCGAGTCAAAACCTTGTTTACCTAGATGCCATTGAGTGCCATGGTGGGTCAAACAAAAGGGGGCATGCCATCTTTGTGGAACTGATAAATCGACATGATTTGACATGTTACATCATGCCGTTGCTGTCAGTGCGCCCTGTTGATCAAGTTCTAGCAGCACCTGCAAATCAAATGCCACGAAGTCAACTCATCCTGCAACACCTAGGAGAAATAGATGTCCAAAGCAGTTGCCTTAGATGCGTCGCACTGTATCGCCCCGTGTCATGCAACAGCTTGGATGCACTTTGTGAGGGCTAAGCATGGCTAAGCTCTTGACCGTCAGCTTGGCTGGATCTCTCATCTGCTGTGCAAGATCCCGCAAAGCAGCTTCGGCAGACAGGCCTTTGGGGTGACCAAGGTGACCTTGATGGCTTTCCTCACGAATCAGGAGACAAATCCTGGATGCACCTTCCGCTCCGAAGACCTTCACCCGGTGAAGTGGAAGCTTCAGCAAGGTCGAAAACGCCTCCTCCAGTTTCTGAAGATCATCAATTCGGCGCACGGGCTGAGAGAGCTGGATGCTCGCACGTTCCGCGCGTTCCTCGACGCGTGCCTCGAGGCGCTCCTTTCGTTCGACCGTCTCCCATGACACTCCAGTCGCGACCTCGGTAGGAACAACTGGGTATCCGACGCTTCGCTCGATGTGTGTGGAAACGGGATTGAGTTCGTGTTGATGTCCAGGTTCATCCACTTTGACATTTTTGTGAGAAAAGGCTAGCAGCCTCTGGTCCAAATGTGCCTGCTCTTGTTGGGCAGTGTTTCCATCAATAGGAAGGCAAGCTTGGGTTCCTTTCTCTGGCTGCTGCACTTTAATCTCCCTCGTGAGCCATTGCAAGACTGATTCTGATGGAACGCTTCCTCCAGGTCGGGCACCCAATTCCTCAAAGCGCCATCCTGCCAGGCGATCCAGGTCATTCCGCGAAACGGGCCCCTGTGAGAGAAGAACCTTCAGTCCCATCAGGTCCATGGTGCCATCAGACTTGGAAAACGAATTCACCAGCTTTCTCGGGCTCTCCAATTGCCCAGCCCATGCCAGAACTTGCCCTTCCAATTGCCGGAGCGTGGCGATGTCTGCGATCCTCTTCTCGGCTCTTGCTTTGAACAGCCGAGTGAAGTAAGCCGCTGGAAGGGCCTGTGAACTCTGGCACCCCAAAGCGAGGAAAAGACTTTCCAAGGTATTCCAGCCAAGCTCAATTCCGCGTAGTCTTAAGACCCTGGCAATGTCTTGCCGCTGGAGCTTTGATGGTGCCGCAACATCCAGGAAATCGAGGGCGACTGAGGTGCTTGAAACCTCTCCCACATCCTTCACCAACTGGTCAAAGCTCTGATGCGCTGCTTCGATGCGTGGTTTTAAAGCCATCCAAACGCTGCCTTCATTTGTGCTGGTCTCTGCCTTCATCCAAACAGTAAGTGAATCAGCTTCCTTTTTGGTCAGGCCAGGCTCACAAGCCCGCAGATTCAGTGGCCCCGTCTGCAACTGCTGCGTGATGCTTTGCTCGAGTTCTTCAATGTCGTGGCATGCCAGGATCATGATGCCCGCCGCGGCATCTTCAAGTGTGAACTCGCAATCAGGTGGAGCTGGAGCTTGAAGCACCTGCAAGACCTCCTGCGATCCAGCATGAACTAACACATGAAGCTTCCCAATGCTGCGATCGGTCGTGACCGCAAAAATATCCAACTCACCCTCGAGAAGCTTCTCGTAGCCCTGCAAAGCTATATTCTGGCAAGATTCTGGTGGCAGTTGGGATAGAATCAACTTGGCAAGCCCACATAGCTCTGCGCCCTGCCAAATCTGTACAAAAATACAAGGAGGAGATGGCGAGCTGCAAATACCATCCCTTGTATTCCAGATGGGTTGAGCGGATACCGCACCCCCCCCCTAAATGTCCCAGATCTTCTCGCATCGGCTGCACTGGTACCAGCAGCTCTTGGGAAGGGCCCAGCTTCAGAATTGCCCTGGCCCCTGAAAAGTACCCTTGCACGGTATTCAGCCACACTCGAAGATAAACTTCGCCTAGGCGATTAAAAAGGTGTTCAGAGGCACTTCACACGGAATCTAAACATTGTGGAAGATTGGGGCACGACTGGAATCAGCTTGTCCTTGGGGAGAATCACCTGCAGAAAAGGAAAATATATGTATATCTGTATATACTCTAAAAACGGAAGCATCTTTAATATCTCAAATACAAATCTTTAAACGCCAAATCTATTGCCCTTGACGTGGCCTGCAGAAGAGACCGTGAGTTCCATCGAAAAGTGTAGGCGTCCAACCGGTGGGTTCTTTGCCCCTGGGCGTGGCCGCCGTGGCCATTCACCGCTCTCGAACATCACAAGGAACGCACAATGGATGAAGACACACAAACATGCAACATTGAAACAAACATCTATGAAAGAAAAAAGAAAGAGATGAAACAAGATGAGAGGTTAAGGACACCCCTTCAAAATCAAAAGGAAGAGGAACATTGAGGAAGAAGGTAAATATCATTGGATTGGTGCTATCGCTGCACTTTGGTGTGATATCCAGTGACTCATGCGCCTGTGGACTCCACAGACTTCAGCTCGCAGGTGAAAGGACAAGTGGCCCCAGGTTCCAGCAGGGCCTGGCAGTTCACCATGAAAACCAACGAACGAACTGCGATCCGAAGTGGCATTGTCGAAAGTATGCTTGGGATCAAGCAGCAAACCACAGCAGGTTGGCCTGGCATCCAATGACACCAAGTCAACAGGGTGGAAGCACGGATGGAGATTCCATTTGCTACTTTCACTCGACACTAGCTTCGAAAAGACCTCTCTCTCTACGGTGCAGTGTTCTCCGCAAAAGAAAGACACTTAGCTGCTAGACAAGCTGCAAAAAACACAAACGCATGAAATCAATGCCACTGAATACAGTAATAAATATTTAAACACATAGAATTACCATCGCCTCGGCCACAGGTGTCAGGGCGTGGCCTTCCAAAAGTCAGAGGCCCAAAGGCCCCTTTGGGTGAACAGCGTGGATTTGCCATAGAAAGGTCGGCGGTCTTGAAACTGATGACAATCCCGTCTTGGTTCAAATTTAAAAAGAAAATAATGTTTGTCGTGACAAGGGTCCTTGCACCTTGCAGCCTTGATCCCACCCTTCTCACGAGCAATTCAAACGTTTCTTTGAACGATCCAGCCTTTCTCTCGTGATTCTCGCCCTTTCGTTTTTGTCTTCGAGCTGATCAGCAGCCCAAGTTGAAGCCTGGACGGAACAACACTACTTTCAACGTCTGTGTTTGTGCAAACCCAAACCTGTCTTCCTTATCCTGTCTTGAGGCACTGGCGGTTCACTTGCCACGGTTTGCCAATCCACAGACCTCCAATCCACAGACGGAGTGGCACCGAGATTCCAAGCACAAAGTGTGAGGCCGCTGCGCTTGCTTTTGCTGATGTGAGGAGTGTTGGATATCCACTCTGTGTCCTGTCAAGACAGCGAGATCCACGGGTCTTGAGTGCTTCCATGTGCGTCCTACATCTGTGATAGTCCTATGACCTTTCTCTGCTTTGCTCTAACAAATCAGACCTTGAATTTCTGGACATCGGAGAAGGATTTCCTCCACTTCCGTCTTGGCACTTTGGCCTGTGCAGGCAAGATCTACAATCATCAATCTTGTAGCTCTGCCAAATGTCCAAGTGCCAACTCTGAGGTGCAAGCCCAAGACCACACGGCAGCGTAGCCAAATCCCATCCGCATCCCTACAGTCAAATATAGTCGGTGTGTCCACAAACATCGACTCCCTGTATAGAACATATTCATTGGCAAACACCCCATTCCATCCCGTTCCCACGAGTGACTGTCGGCCTGATCTTGCGAAGTCCAAAGGTGGTCAGATCCAGGGTTTCGAGCTTTAGGTTAAGTCCATCCAAGCCTGCCAACAGACCATGGATGATGGTGTTTTTCAAAAGTGGAGCTAGCATCTAGGGCCAGCGGCTAGCGGCTAGATTCTAGATGCAGTATGTTATGCTGTTTGATACAAGAAAATCGGCGGCATTGGCTTTCTTCCAAGCCTCGAAGCGTAGATCCGGCAGCAGGCAGACTGCGTACCTTGAACTCGTGCACCGACAAACACGCACAGAAGCGTGTTTGAACGGACAGGTAGTTCCTGGCATGCTCTAGGCAGCCAGTGCCGTCAGTTCGATCAGATCCTTCATTGGAAGCCACAAGCCCGAACCGAAGGACTTTCTGCAAACGAGGCGCATCTGAGATTGGTAAAGGTGGCTGCGATGTCATCGGCACTTTCTCTTCTCTCTCACGTTGGGTGTCATCATCATCCTTTCGACTGCCATTCGACTCCTCTTTGTCCCTCTCACCTCACAAGGTAACAAGCCAAATCAACCACAACTTCCGCAGAGTCTACTGCTGTCTGCCATCCTCACCTGTGCACATGGGATCCTCTGCCAAAATGAGTTCCAACTCCGCCACTGCACGGGTGGACCACCTCGGAATTCCGGAGGAATTCCGAATTCGAGGAGAAATGAAAAAAAGAACGTTCATCAAACTTCACCGGCTGAAGTTGAGCAGTCTGAACTCTACGATACTCTACGACTATCCGATGGTTACTATGCCCCAACATCCCCCAACTGTCTCACCAGCTCGCTCTTTTCAGTCGTCCACCAATGGCAGCAGTGGGACCATGGGATGATCCACCACGGCGCCGCGGCCGCAGTCGCCGATCCACGGCTCGTAGGACACGGCGTCCTCGGCCGGGCCGCCGCGTGCGCCGTGCAGCCGGGCGCCGTCCGCCACGAAGCCCAGCGTCCAGGCCACGCGGAGGGGACCGCTGGAGGGCGCCGCCGCGGCGGAGTGCAGAGTCCATCCATGGTGGATGGAAGCATCGCCCGGCAAAATGCTTCCAGTTCCTTGGAAGCAAAAATGGCTTAGGCTTCGTGCTTGTTGGCACCTTTATATAGGGCTTTATATATCCTGAAGCGAAAAAAAACGCGGCAGCAAACAGTTTGATTTACTGTGTCAAGATTGAGCCCTTCACTCCAGAGTTTGTATCTGCCAGTGAGATCTTCATCCAGGTCCCCATGGAAGGGCAAAGCAAAATCGCGGTGACTTCCAATCGCATAGACCAAGGAAGAGCCTCCTCTTGGAGGTACTGCTGTCAGCGGTAGCCAGAATGTCAGAAAGCCTGAACTTCACTCAGAATCAGAAGTAATAACAAGAAGCTACTAGGAACAAGGTGCATCGCTACTAGGAGCTAATTTGCTTAAACTGTCCTGTGCACGTTTATGGGATTGATAGCTCTTATGTCAGATATGTAATCTTCTGGGTGTCATGGGCCGAATACGGAAATTTGCGAGATTGCCTTTAAAAGCTGCTAGTAACTTCTAGCTATATACTAGTAGTAGTAATGCCCTTGTTACTAGTAGCTTCTAGCTAGTAGTGAGACTTGCTTTCTTCCCACAGTCCTCTGCCTTGTGCAAAAACAGGATACGCCACTGCGGAATCACCCTAGGCAACCGAGCAGCTGTTGGTGTCGAAGGGTGCCAAGCCCAAATCTGAATGCCAATCGGTTGCCCCATCACCTAGGTTGCCAATCTGTGGGCTGCCGTGTCCAAGTATCCGCTGTCGAGTCATGCATTCAACAATGAAGCGCACATCAAGGTACCTGGCCGCTTCACAAAAAGGGCATCCTGGTAGAGGCCTGCACAAGTCTCACATAGCCACTATTCTGCAAATATGGATCTTGATGATTCCATCATCACTTATCAACATGGCCACATGGCATTAAAGGTTCTTCTCTGGATCAAGGCTAAGAGGCCGGCGAACACGAGGCACCCCAAGCAATCGCGTGGCCCAAAATGAAAAGCGTGGGGACATTGCAATTCTTCGAAGCTCTTCACTTAGGCGGTGGAGGTTGAAGTACTGAAGAAAGCTGACTTCTCCACCTCATCTGCGGCACACACAAACATGACACATCCTGCTGTCTCGGCAACGCCCTTTCAAATCCCTGCCAAAAAATGCAGGCTCGACACGCTTCTCCAAAGCCGCCAACTTCTTCCGGCATGCTGCTAAAGTCGTGCACTGCGAGGCAGCTACCGCCCCAAACTGAACCTGAGGACAAACAGTCAACTGAACTGCAAAAGGGGTGCAAATTGAGTGCCAAGAGAAAGTATATCCAAGTGTCAGACCCGGACTTGATGCTGCAGTGCTGAAAGAGCACACTTCTCTGAGCCTCGCAGGTATCTCAAAAAAGAACTGCTGAGCAACCTACAAACTCCTTCAGCTTCAAGAACTAGAATTAGTGTTCAAGTCCCTGAATCTGGCGATCCGGTTTTCATGATGTTCCATAGGTTTAACCCTTGAAGAAGTGCCTGATTCGTGGGAGGCGCGCCATCGTTGAACGCCGTGCAAAGGGGGACCGAGCTTGATAAACGGAGAGAGAGAGAGAGAGGAAAAAAAAAGCAAGATAAATGCGTCTAGCTGCGCCCAGCTCAGGCCAAGGAGCTCTGCAGCTCCTCTATCGCACGCGACAGTGTGGCCATTTCCTCCTGAGGACTGACAGAAGACTCTAGGCAGCTGCTACTTTATTGCTGTGAGCAGCACATGAACGGCCTCTTTGAGTATCGCAGGAACCTTCAAGAAGCCTTGTCGTTCGAAGTCCAACCTTGCGTGGCACTCTGGCACTCACTGTCCAATAATTACAAAGCTTTCAGAATGGCTTGGACAGCTGTCTTAAAAGTCTTAGGCTTTGGCTGGACATCCGTGCTGCAGCGCTGTCGATCCTTCAAGATTCAGCCATCGCTGAGTCAAAGAAATGAAATCGCAGCTTTCGCAGCAAGCGATTTCACACCAAGCCATGACAGCCATAATTCTCAAGACATACCAACAAATGCGTTCATTGTTAGTAGCAGCTTGATGATATGGCTCCCTTTGAAAAGCTTTATTACAGGGGCCCGAGCACCTTCTCTTTTCTATAACACTCTTGGTTGTAGAAAGGGGAAGGAGTAGTTACCGGGTGGTCAAGTCGAACGCCAAGATCCGAGCGGCTCGCGTTTTCAGCGCCCCGGAGGGGTCCTCCTCTGTCACCGGGAAACTCCGCGAGGTCCCGCTTTTTCTCCGTGGCGCGGCGTAAACTGCTCGCAAGGCCTTGGAGCTGCACTCCATGTCAAACGACTGCACAAATGGAACAATACGGCCGATGGTTTTTATATAAATTGGAGATAGAAGTGATATTAGATAGTACTTTGTGAAACAACTACTGGTCACACAATTACCACTCTGGAATAGGAAGGATCAGTATGACTGTGTTAGATGGACAGAACATGGCTTTCCTGCAAAGTCACTAGCACACAGCCAGCACGTTGCAAAGCTATCCGCGTTGGACTGCTTGCATGCTTTGACGTGGATGATATCCGGCGCATGGACTGCGGAAGAGTGACAGCAGCTCCAAATGCCATGGCAGTCGGAGACACCAACATGACTTTGGTTGATTGATCTCCTTAAGTTATATAAGTGTTTGCAGTTGTTTGCAGATTTGCCCAGTTTAGCGAACTCTTGGATACTTTAGATTCATTGTGACCATCTTCAGAGGGCCTTTCTTCCAAGTTTCCCAGTATGTGGGGAACTTTTCTTCATTGAACGGTTCACAGCCCATCAGATTGAGCCAATGACAAAAAGGATATCAGTGCGAGCCAAATATCCGTGCAAGTGATACCAGATTGATCCAGATTGCTCAGGTCGTCACTCAACTGGGTCGGGTCTCCAATTCGCAGGCTGCACCTTCACTGAACACTGCAACACGCCAAAGCGGGAGAGTTCTTTTGAGGCTCAAGAGAAGACGAATCTCGGATCGATTCAAAGGATGTCTGAAGGATGGAAGCCACATGAAGCCAGTGTCTCACAGCACCAACTATCCAAAGATGGATTTATATATCTTAAAGTTCTTAGTAAAGTTCTGATAGCTCTGAGCCGGTCACACGAGTGACTGCAGGGCCTTTGACATCAGCCTGGAACGCTGGAAAACGATGTCCCACAAAGGTGTTACTGCTTCTGGCAGTTCTTGGTCCATTCGCCCCCCCTCCGCTTCGACCGCCGAAGACCTGTTTAAGAGGCTTCGGGTTTCCTCCTACACATCGAGTTCAGAAAGACCCAGTTCTCTTACGGGTCCAGCTGAGAAAGTGCCATTCTGTTCTGATCAACTGAATGAATTCTATGATAGTCTATGTTATTGGGAACCATGGCTGGTTGATTGGAAAGCTGAAGTGGTTGTCACAATGCGATGTTGTCCTTTTGTAGTTTGTGTGGTTGCGCAGCAACATTCAATCTCTACAGCAGGAAATGGTCTTGTCATGAACTACAAAGGCAGGGAAGTCTGTGAAAACAGACCAGCTCATGATTCTCTGATAGTCCAGGGAGACAGTTTGAAAACCTCTAGTTACTAGTTGCAAGGCCAAATCCAGCAATATTGTGGGGGTCCTCGCAGGGGTGCTTTGACAATTTAAAACTCTGCACACAGTATCTGCGGTTTTGCAAAGCATCCGTTGGAGCCCGTTTGATCCGTTTCTGAAAGCACCTGTAGTTCCTCCCGAAGCTGTTTCGCCCTGCGAAGCAGCTGCTCAGCCTCATCTGACGGAGGCCTTCGCAAGAACAAAAGATCAAAGGAAGGCCTGTGAAGTCATATCAATGGCATCCTAAAAAGGCCACATGAGGCATCTTTGTCGTCTGACATGTATGCCAACTCTGCTGAATGATGCTAACCTGGGGTGCCAACTTTTTCGTCTGCTTTCTCTGCAGAAACTGTTTCCATGGCACCCAAGATACGTGTCTATCGCAGACCGGGCCATCATTTTCCAAGAGAAGTGATTGGACACAGCAGTAGAAAAGCATGTCGTTGGAGAAACTCCTGACGGATGTTGTTTTTCTAGTTCTTTGGACGCATGACCGTGAGAACACGAGTCGACCGAAGGCATTTTGTTTGGCTCAAAACAAGCGCCCCTCGCTGTTTGTGTTTAGAGGGTTATGAGCCCAAACATCCACGCTTAGCCATGGTTGGAAGGGCGCAATCAATGCCGCCCGAAGCGAACCCCTTCTGGTCAGAACGACTCCAGTCGGAGGTTGCCCTGCAGCGAAGCCGCCCAGGGGATTTGCCGATCCCGCAGGATGATGGTGAAGGTGAATGGGAGATGGAAGAGGAGACCGCACCTGTGCAGGACAAACGCACGGGCTGCGTGGGCAAGGGACGCGGTGGAGCGTCAGGGTCCATGGGGTCGAATCGCATGTTCGTCACACCACCAAGCACCTGCTGGAGGGATGGTCGCGGCAACGGGCTCGGGCGACGCTCGGATGGGGTGATGCCACCGGACAGTGTTGGTTCGGAAGGCCACCAAGGCCAACAAGGTCAAAGCTGGAAAGAGCACGATGGGTCCAATGCCACCAAAAGTTGGTCCCCATGTGCATGGTGAACCCGAAGGTCTTCAAAGGGCACTGGAAGCAGAAATGGTGTCATTTTTGCGTGATCAAAATGATCAGTTGTTGGAGGAAGTAGCAAGGCTCCGACAACAGGTGCAGCGGAGTGGCCAAGCTCCGTCATCGGCTCCTTCCTCTTGGGAACAGGTGGACGGACACGAGAAGACATCCAACCAAGAGGGCGTCAAGAGCGATGCAACTGCTGGACATGGCAGTGGCTTGCAGCGGGGTGAACCGCCGCAGACGCCGCGTGGTCGGAGCCCGACATCGAAGAGGACCAACAATGGATCCCGGTGCACTCCGAATGGCACTCAAGTTCCTCCACACCACCGAAAGATTGGCCTGAAGTTCCAATGCCACCGTTTCCTGAAAGCACCTCGGCAGATTCCAACATGTTTCATGGTTATGATTTTGTTCATTTTCGTCGGCGGCTTGGCGATGCAACTTGGCTGCCAGCGAATCTGCGAGAGGGGAAAGCCTTTGTTTTGGGCGCTGATGGCGAGCGCGCATCTCGGCTGGAACGGGAGTTGGCAGAGCTGAAGGAGTCGGTCCACCGGTTGCAAGAGCCTCGGGCGCATGGTTCTTCGTTGGCACCATCAAATGGATCCCTCATGCATGGACACGACCTACGGGGTGTTGGCGGTGTTCTTGGAGGGGGAAGTCATGGTTTGGGTCATGGAGGTCGAAGCGGTTTTGAAGTATGCCCACCCGGTCCTGACGGTGTATGTCCTCCTGGTGGCATGTGCCCTCCGGCTCCACGGATGATGGAGTCAAAGCTGGGCCCTGATTTGGCGGCACGTGGTGGTGAGGCCACGTATGGTCGCTGGCAAGCGGATGTTCCGCACTCGCCTGCACCAGCTCCTTTGCCATGGAATGAAGGAGCAGGTGGTGGGGGCAACAAAGAACTGGTCGAGTTAGCAGCTGATGCATCTCCCCTCGAACTGGGCGATTGGCTAGCTGTTTGTGGCCCTGTTTTGAGAGACATCTCATCGGTGTCATCGAGGTGGTGGAATTTGACCACAAGAGAAGCCCAGTGCTACTACGAGAGATGGAGAACATCTTCGCCCTTGGAGCGAGTTCAAATTGTTCCCAAGCTGCCTGATGAGTTGCTGGATCAATGTTACCAGAGGACGGAGCAGCGTGGTGTGAATTTGTTGTTGAAAGCCATCCCCGCAGATCAGCAGCAGGCTTTGATCACGGCCAGGGAGTTGACTTCGACTGCATTGCTGTTCCGCTTGTTGGTCAGGTACCAGCCCGGTGGTTCCGGGGAAAAGTCGATCCTGTTGGCCAAGCTGACATCGCTGGATAAGAGCTCAGGGACACCTGAACTGGCAGCGGCTTTGAGGTCTTGGAGAAGACATTATGCCCGTGCTCAGGAGATCGGGGCGATCTTGCCAGACGGGACTTTGTTGTTGAAGGCCCTTGAACCGGCCGTTGCTCAGATTGGTGCCTTGGATGCTCAAGCTGCCTTTCGTTTGGCCCAGAGCAGGTTGCAGTTGGGGATTGATCAACAGCCACTACATGATGGTGTTTGGCGCTTCAGCCAATGTCTGCTCGCGGAGGCAGAAACATTGTGCCTCGTGGCCTCGACTCCATCGACTACAACTCCATCGCCAGTGAAGGTGAAACAAATGGATGCGCATGGCAAGCCACCCAATGCCACTGGCAGCTCTGTGGATAAGGGGAAGGGCACATCCTTGGCGTCCACTCCTTGCAAGTACTTCCGGTCCGAGTCAGGGTGCAAAGCTGGTCGCAACTGCAAATGGTCGCATTCATGGGACGGCATTGAAGATAAAGCAGCTCGTTGTTGGATTTGCGGCGGCAAGGATCACCGCAAAACGGATTGCAAACTCAAAGCCCAAGGACAAGGCAAACCTGGTCCATCCAAAGACGGCAAATCCCATGGTGAGCCTGGCGGCTCAGGGGGAGGAAAGTCATCGTCAAAAATGTCCACGTCGCCTTCTACGTCATCCAATGTTGCAGGTGCTGGCAGTTCAATCGCACCCAAGCTTCAAGAAATGGAAGGTCCAATGGAGGCTGCCTGTGAAGTCCCTGCACCAAGCGATGGAAGCAAAGGTGAAACGGGCACAACATCCAGCGAAGCTCTGCTCCAAGAGGCCACGAAGCTTCTTAAGTCTTTGAGGGCACCGCAGCTGAAGATGATCAAGATCAGCCAGCTGGACGTGGCTGCTGAAGGCATGATGGCGCTTTTGGATTCTGGTGCAACCCACGCTTTGAGGCCGGCTTTGACTGAAGGCGAATGGGCTGCGGCGCAACCTACGCAAGTCACCTTAGCTGATGGGGTTACAACAAAACTTCGTCTGAAGGTGAACTCCAAGATCCTGGTGTCAGACCCGGCTGATGACACTATGAGCCAATCCTGGATCATTCCACTGGGAGGCATCACAGAGCTGGGCTACAGGTTTGAGTGGAAGGGGGCTAAATGCTCTCTGCGTGATGAGCAGGGCCAGGAGCTTGATGTTTGCATCCAACATGGCTGCCCGATGGTCACCCGTCAGTTGGGGCAGGAGATGATTGCTCGACTCGAACATCAACAAGTTCGATTGGTGCGGAAGGCCTTGTTGCTCAAGTCCATGCTGGTGGATCCATCAGCAGAGTCCTTGGAGGCGGTGAAGAACTCCACGGAAATGGCCCTCACCCTGAAGATGAAGATGATGTTTCCGGATCTTCCGGATGAGGTGTTGATGAAGGTCATCCCGGACCTATCTTCGCTGAAGGGCAATGGAGGGCATCGAATCCCTTGGAACCGGCACAAACGTCGGCGGCTACAACAGGCCAAAAGCATCGTCATCCATTTTGTTCTCAGGGCCGGACCACCGTTTTTGGGAGAAGAAGCTTGCTGGCAGTGGCACTGAGGTCCTTTGTGTCGATCTTAGCGGCTATGTTCCAGCAGATTTGCATGATGATGCAGTCTTCCGCTTCTTGCTCTCCCTGGCTGCATCAGGAAGAGTCAAAGCATTGTTGGCTGGTCCACCTTGCCGCACTGTTTCAGCCCTGAGGTTCCAAGATGACGGCGGTCCCGGAGTTCTTCGAACTGAAGAGTATCCCTATGGGGTTCCAACGTTGACGGCCACCGAACAGAATCTGGTCACTGGTGATAGTGTACTCTGGTTCCGCATGTTGGCCTTGTACATGTTGTGCGAGGATGTTCGCCTGCCGGATGAGCCGCAGACCGCTTTGGCAATCGAGCAGCCCGAAGATCCTGCACGGTATCGACCGACTGAAGAAGTGAAGGTCAAGAAATTCATGTCAGTGTGGCGCACCAAAGAATGGCAATCGTTTGAGGCACACTTCAAGGTCCGGATGATCCACTTCGATCAAGGACCGATGGGCCACATCAAGAAAAAGCCTACTTCAATGGCTGTGGTGCTGCGTGACATCCATGCTTTGGATGGTGTTCGAGGTCCACCAAGTGGAGACCCTCCTGATCCTCAAGGCCAAGATCGAGCCAACATGACGCTGAAGGAGCGCTGTGAAGACTCCAAAGGCTGGGCGGCATGGGCACCGGGCTTGAAAGTGGCGCTGGTGCTAGCTGTACAAGACCACCTCAACCGTCGAGTTACCCCATCTTTGGAGGCTGCACTCCGCCCTGTTGGACAGGTGGCACTTGAGAGCTGGCGTCAACATTACCTCAATGACCATATGCCAGCAAGAAGAGATTGTCGTGACTGTGTTCGCTCCTCTGCGCGCAGCAAACCACATCGTAAGATCACACACCCTGAAGCCTACACGCTGAGCATCAACCTGTCCGGAAAAATGGTGATTGGTCAAGACCAGAACAGGCACGACTGCAGGTACATGATGATTGCTGTGTACACCTTCCCGGTGGATCGCTCTGGCCGCTCATTGGTTGAGTTTGCAGAGGCATCAAGTCACCAGGAAGATCCACCCTCCATCGACGCTGATGAGTACACTCCTACAGAACCTGGGGGTGACGACCCGGGGGAGGACCTTTTGAGGGAGGAGGAACCTGGAGATGTAGAGGATCCGGGGGAGGCAGGACAAAGTGCAGCAGAAGCAGCAGGTGTGAAACATGGCCGTGCGGCGATGGAAGCATGGCAAAAGCAAATTGAAGAAGCTCAAGATGTTGCAGTCCGCAATGTCACCTTCGTTGAAGTACTTCCAGGACGGGCTGTGAACAACATTTTGGCTGCCTTGGCTCGCATCTACGCGAGGATTCGATCCTTGGGGCTGCCTTTGTATCGCATTCACTGCGACAGAGCTCGGGAGTTGATCTCAGCTCCAGTCCGCCGCTGGACCCTCGACAGAGGAATAGTCACCACTTTGACATCCGGTGACTCGTTCAAGGCCAACGGCCGA